AAACACTGGACCACACAGAAACGTACGGGTCTAACAAGAGCATTACTGGATCACCAGAGTTAATGGCTCATCGTGGACCTTACTGGCTCAGTATAGACTCTGTTGGATTACTTAAGATCCAACTGGATCTCTGGTGACCCTGGTATGTTGGTCATGGTCATGTTGGACCACTCAAGCCATTGCTGAGTCACTCAGGGTCCTACAAGGTCTCTTACGACCCTGCTGGATCACCTTTACTGTGTTATTCACGGTAATTCATGCTCTATGTGAGCTACTCACATCTCTGATGGGTCACTCACACACTTGTTCACTCAAGATCGTGTTGGGTCACTTGCACTCCTCCTGGGTCCCTGAATGATCTGATGGGTCACTTATGACCTGCCTGGGTCACCGAGGTCGCTGTGGGGAGGGACGTGCACCACACACCCTGGTCACTGTGGGGAGGGGCGTGCACTACACCCTGGTCACTGTGGGAAGGGGCGTGCACTACACCCTGGTCACTGTGGGGAGAGACGTGCACTACACCCTGGTCACTGTGGGGAGGGACGTGCACTACACCCTGGTCACTGTGGGGAGGGACGTGCACTACACCCTGGTCACTGTGGGGAGGGGCGTGCACTACACACCCTGGTCACTGTGGGGGAGGGACGTGCACTACACCCTGGTCACTGTGGGGGAGGGACGTGCACCACACACCCTGGTCACTGTGGGGAGGGGCGTGCACTACACACCCTGGTCACTGTGGGGAGGGGCGTGCACTACACCCTGGTCACTGTGGGGGAGGGACGTGCACCACACACCCTGGTCACTGTGGGGGAGGGACGTGCACCACACACCCTGGTCACTGTGGGGCTGTGCTGTGTATGTGTGTGTATTTAATGGGTCCCACCTTAACATCTGCCGGTTGTCTAATTCAGTGACTCCCGATCGCTTTGTGTCTCGTTACACTGGCTTGTTAAACTATGGATGAAGAAAGTGTGCTCTTGCAACCCCGCGGCCAGTTTTCATGCACGCCCTCTTGTTACGTCACTACTCAACATATTGTCTCCCTTTAATCTATTCCCCTGAGTATTTAATGTCTGGATCAAGTCTCCTCTATTTCTTCTTTCTTCCAGGCTTGTGAAGCTTAGCTCCCCTAGTCTATCATGGTAGCTCAATTCCCTCAATTATGGGACTAGTCGTGTAGCGAGCTTCTGTTCTCAATCTTCCATTATGGTTTATGACGTGTGGGTTCCACGCTGGCGCTGCATATTCAAGCACTGGTCGGACATATGCTATGCCAAACATTTTTACACATAAATGTTTAGGTTTCTGAAGGCTCTCCTGATGACCACCAGCTTACCACTTGCTGCTGGAGTGATTCTACCGATGTGTGTCTTCGGAGATAGACTTGGTATTCTGCCTATTATCATTACTTTGTTTAAATTTGGATTTAGGTCCAGTAGCCATTTGTTAAATCGTCTGCTGCTTATCAAATGTTTCCTGGAGTCTCTTGCAGTCATCGATGCTTGTCCTGGATTTCCTTATCAGATCTGCATTATCAGCACAGAGTTTAGTGCATCAGTTGTGTCATTTACGGATACAAGAACTGTTTCTCGTCGCTGAACTTTGTGGTACTCCATTTATGGCGTTCCCTCAAACTGATATTTCCTCTCTTACTCTGTTTACTATTCTTATGCTCTTCTTTAATTTATCACTCATTTGTGTACTCTGCCAGTTACTCTAGCCTGGTTGTATAGCTTGTGTTATATACCTTAGCCTGGTTGTATACCTTCTTGTACAGGGCAGTGTCAAATACCTCCTTACAATCAATTAATATACAGTCTGCCACCTTTCCCTTTCTTGTCTGCCTGAGCTAAGTAATTCCTTCGTAAAACGTACGAGTCTTATAAATATCTTGGAGTTGAGGTCAGTGATACAAATGTTATCAGCAAGCTTCACAAAAAACTTGTTGGCCTCACAAAACTCTGATGAACAAAGGATCTGGCATTAACTTAAATATGCTCGTAGCTTTTGTATTGACTTTATATGATCTGTTATTGATTATTATGCCTTAAACCTTGTTAATTATTTTCCTAAACAACTACAAGGCCTAGATGTGGTGCACAATGATGCCATGCGCACAATCCTGGGTTGTCCCAAAAATGACAGATTTGTTAACATGAGAAAGAAAGTAAGACTACCTTCAATTTATGACAGAATAGTTCTATTTAATACTATGTTTTGTGCCAACATTTTGAAAAATAATGAACCCCCTTCCTCCGCTCTATTCAAATTAAATTGAGATTCTTTCTAAACAACTCTGACTGTACTCCCTTATCCACTGGAGTACCTTACCAGCTACACCTGCCTGTCTCTCCAGCTTATGTACCAGCCTCTTATGGGGTACTATGTCAAAGGCTTTCCGACAATCCAAGAAAATGCAGTCCGCCCAGCCTTCTCTTTCTTGCTTATTCTTTGTCACCTGGTCGTAGAATTCTATTAAGCCAGTCAGGTAAAATTTACCCTCCCTGAACGCATGTTGGCGATTTGTCACGAAGTCCCTTCTCTCCAGATGTTATCTTGAGGTTATCTTGAGTTGTGTAAACTATGTGTTGCTAGTTTTTTTCTCATGATCTTCTCCATCACCTTGCATGGTATACAAGTCAAGGACACTGGCCTGTAGTTCAGTGCCTCTTGTCTCTCACCCTTTTTGTATATTGGGAACACATTCGCCGTCTTTCATATTTCTGGTAGGTCTCCCGTCTCCAGTGACCTACTATACACTATGGAGAGTGGCAAGCAAAGTGCCTCTGCACACTCTTTCAATACCCATGGTGATATCCCGTCTGGATCAACAGCCTTTCTCACATCCAGATCCAACAGGTGTCTCTTGACCTCATCTCTCGTAATTTCGAACCCTTCCAAGGCCGCCTGGTTAACTTCCCCCTCTCCTAGCACAGTGACCTCACCTTGTTCTATTGTGAAGACCATCTGGACCCACTTGTTGAGTTCTTCACACACCTCTTTGTCATTCTCTGTATACCTGTCCTCGCCTATTCTAAGTTTCATTACCTGTTCTTTCACTGTTGTTTTCCTCCTGATGTGACTGTGGAGTAGCTTTGGTTCAGTCTTGGCTTTGTTTGCCATATCATTTTCATAATTTTTCTCTACTTCTCTTCTCACACTAACATACTCATTCCTGGTTCTCTGGTATCTCTCTCTCTGCTTTCTGGTGTTCTGTTATTCCAGAAGTTCCTCCACACCCTTTTAAAAAAAAAATCAAATTCAAATGTTTATTTAGGTAAAGTACATACATACAAGGGGTGATACAACTATTGATGAATTTATAGATAGAGCTAGTACATACAATACATAAAGCCACTATTACGCAAAGCGTAATAGTGGCCCTTTTGTTCAGTTCCTTTGCTTCCATACATGCTCTATTAAACCATGGATTCTTCTTTTGCTTCTCGGATTTTTCCTTTTGGGCCGGGATACACCTATTTACTGCCTCCTGGCCCTTTTGGATGACATAGTCCATCATATCTTGTGCAGACTTAGCTCTGAGTTCCGTGTCCCATGGTATTTCCCTTAGGAAACTTCTCATCTCATAATTCCCCTTTCGATATGCCAGCTTTTGTTTCCTAGTTCTACCAGGTACTCAAAGATCAATACACTGTGAACACTCTCTCTCTGATTGAGAGAGTCTCCCATGATTAGTAGTTCAGATACATTCCTGCTAGCAACTGTGTGTGTGTGTGTGTGTGTGTGTGTGTGTGTGTGTGTGTGTGTGTGTGTGTGTGTGTGTGTGTGTGTGTGTGTGTGTGTGTGTGTGTACTCACCTAATTGTGCTTGCGGGGGTTGAGCTCTGGCTCTTTGGCCCCGCCTCTCGACCGTCAATCAACAGGTAGTGTGTGTGTGTGAGTGTGTGTGTGTGTGTGTGTGTACTCACCTATATGTGCTTGCAGGATCGAGCATTGACTCTTGGATCCCGCCTAGGGATCCAAGTATATGTACTTGGAAATATCCAAGTATATATTGTATGTATGTACTTTACCTAAATAAACATTTGAATTTGATTAGGGAATGTGTGTGTGTGTGTGTGTGTGTGTGTGTGTGTGTGTGTGTGTGTGTGTGTGTGTGTGTGACATGGGGGTGCAAATAGCAAATACACACACACACACACACACACACACACACACACACACACACACACACACACACACACACACACACACACACAGGAAGCAGCCCGTAGCAGGTATCTATTTACTGCTAGGTAACTGGGGCATCAGGGTAACAGAAACTCTGCCCATTGTTTCTCACATGAAACATGTGAGTCCGGGAATCGAACCCCGGACCACAGGATTACGTGTCCAGCGTGCTGTCCACTCAGCCACCGGCCCCCCCTGACACACACACAGCCCTCCCCCCCCACCTGTGTGTGGGGGGATGGGGGAGGGGGGGGGGGTAGAGGGGGTTCGCCGGGAGGGTCCAGCGTGGCGGGGTTGGCTGGCCAGTTAGCGGCTGTCAATGTGTGTACCCGGCGTCAGGCGGTCGGGGTGGAGAGGTCGTCAGGGGCCCCGTGCTGACACCAAGGGCCCTCCAAGTCGCCGCTGACAAGCTTCGCATACACACACACACGCACGCACGCACGCACGCACACACACACACACACACACACACACACACACACACACACACACACACACACACACACACACAAAGAGTCCCAAAATGTTGCTGTTAATGGACTGCATTAACACACCCCCAGATAACTAAGTCTCATGTTTTAACACAAATAAAACACGTAGCTAAACTATACCTTGCGTCGTCGACTGTCCTAGCCCTCGTGCTAGTAGGCTACTCCTAGTAGTGGCACTACTGGTAATGGTAATAATAGTAATACTAGTACAACCTGCGCCCCGCAGGAGCCTGTGCCAGCTGGCGGAGGATCAAGAAATATCTGGAGTCAAAATAAGGTTGAAAGAGAACGTGGGGCCGCACTCAGACCAAAGATGGCGGGAGACTGTGTGGTATGGAGAACCTGCCTGGTAACCTGCCCTCACCCTCCACTGCCCTCACCCTCCACTGCTCTCACCCTCCACTGCCCTCACCCTCCACTGCTCTCACCCTCCACTGCCCTCACCCTCCACTGCCCTCACCCTCCACTGCTCTCACCCTCCACTGCCCTCACCCTCCACTGCTCTCACCCTCCACTGCTCTCACCCTCCACTGCCCTCACCCTCCACTGCCCTCACCCTCCACTGCTCTCACCCTCCACTGCCCTCACCCTCCACTGCCCTCACCCTCCACTGCTCTCACCCTCCACTGCCCTCACCCTCCACTGCTCTCACCCTCCACTGCGCTCACCCTCCACTGCCCTCACCCTCCACTGCTCTCACCCTCCACTGCCCTCACCCTCCACTGCCCTCACCCTCCACTGCTCTCACCCTCCACTGCCCTCACCCTCCACTGCTCTCACCCTTCACTGCTCTCACCCTCCACTGCCCTCACCCTCCACTGCTCTCACCCTCCACTGCTCTCACCCTCCACTGCTCTCACCCTCCACTGCTCTCACCCTCCACTGCTCTCACCCTCCACTACTCTCACCCTCCACTGCTCCACCTGGGACACCTCTGTGGACCGGTGTATGTCTGAGCAGAGTACGGCTACAGGAGGCGTGATGTAGAGGACCAGTGAGGGTCTACAGATGTGTGTGGTGTAGGTGTGCAGGGTGTACTCGTATGTATGGTGTTGGTGTGCAGGGTGTACACATGTGTGTGTGGTGTAGGTGTACAGAGTGCACATAGGTGAGTGGTGTACATGTACAAGATCTACATACTTGTGTGTGTGGTATAAATGTGCAGGGGTGTACACTAGTGTGGTGTACAGGTAGAGCTGTATGCACAGGTATGTAGTATAAATGTACAGCTATACACAGGTATGTGGTGTAGATAATTAGTTGTGTACACTGGTGTGTGGTGTAGAGTGTACGAATGAGACGGCTGAAGCATCATTCATTCTCTGTTACATGTATCGAAGCCTAGTAATACACCCGATCAAAAATAAACAATTATCACCAACCCGTCCTCATCCAGCCTGTCCTCACCCAACCCGTCCTCATCCAGCCCGTCCTCATCCAGCCCGTCCTCACCCAACCCGTTCTCATCCAGCCCGTCCTCATCCAGCCCGTCCTCACACAGCACGTCCTCACCCAGCCCGTCCTCACCCAGCCCGTCCTCATCCAGCCCGTCCTCACCCAACCCGTCCTCATCCAGCCCGTCCTCATCCAGCCCGTCCTCACCCAGCCCGTCCTCACCCAACCCGTCCTCATCCAGCCCGTCCTCATCCAGCCCGTCCTCACCCAACCCGTTCTCATCCAGCCCGTCCTCATCCAGCCCGTCCTCACCCAGCCCGTCCTCACCCAGCCCGTCCTCACCCAGCCCGTCCTCACCCAGCCCGTCCTCACCCAGCCCGTCCTCATCCAGCCCGTCCTCATCCAGCCCGTCCTCACCCAGCCCGTCCTCACCCAACCCGTCCTCATCCAGCCCGTCCTCATCCAGCCCGTCCTCACCTAGCCCGTCCTCACCCCACCCCGTCCTCATCCAGCCCGTCCTCACCCAGCCCGTCCTCATCCAGCCCGTCCTCATCCAGCCCGTCCTCCCCCACCCCGTCCTCATCCAGCCCGTCCTCATCCAGCCCGTCCTCACCCAGCCCGTCCTCATCCAGCCCGTCCTCACCCAGCCCGTCCTCACCCAGCCCGTCCTCATCCAGCCCGTCCTCACCCAGCCCGTCCTCACCCAGCCCGTCCTCACCCAGCCCGTCCTCACCCAGCCCGTCCTCACCCAACCCGTCCTCATCCAGCCCGTCCTCATCCAGCCCTTCCTCACACAGCCCGTCCTCACCCAGCCCCTCCTCACCCAGCCCGTCCTCACCCAGCCCGTCCTCACCCAACCCGTCCTCATCCAGCCCGTCCTCATCCAGCCCGTCCTCATCCAGCCCGTCCTCATCCAGGCCGTCCTCATCCAGGCCGTCCTCTACAATAATACACCACACAGAGAAATCACATTATGGTGATATATCAATTAATAAATCTACAGGAGCCGTGATGAGGATTCGAACCTGTGTGCCAGGTGTTCCCAAGCACGCTCTAGTCGACTGCGCCACAAAGACCCAGCGAATAGGTTCGAACCCTCATCACAGCGTTTGTGGATTTGTGCTTTAATACACCGCTTTATGACGTCAAAATTCCCAACGGACAAATAGAAGGGCACTACAAACCATTGCGGCTCACAAATATTCACGTTTATGTGGTCGATAAGTTCGAGCGTTTTAGTACACCATTTTTCTGTCCATTGTAGCAAATCGAGAGGACGGGCTGCATCATCAACAAGCTCCAAATGCTCATTAAGCCAACCACCGAAACCCTTCTTTATTGTGAGTCGTGTGAAAGTATCTTATTCACATGACTCACAACCTATCGTGTATGTATTTTTCGAATCACACCTCTAAAATGCTTCATCCATCTATTGCAAATACAATTACTACCAATAGAATCTATCTAACCGAACGTAAGTTAGACCTAATTATTCAACACATTTGGTTTATAATAATATTCCCATATTTTTGAGAAAATAAACATTTTTAATACGCAGTAGCTGAACACTTCTGAATGCGTCTTTGAGGGTCGCCAGCCCCTTTAACGAGCCTAGCCTGACGACAGGTTGCAGGAACTATGGATATCACGTGAGTCCGTGGTCACAGGTGTGATAATTTGAACATGTCTACATATATGGTATATTAAGTTCGACGACAAATTTATTACAATTATGAATATACACTGGTCCGGTAAGAGTTTATTGTTATTACTTAACACATTTCAATCCGAGTACTGGCGTAATTCTTGAGCCTGGGGATAAACATGGAGTTTGTGTAAACAAATACCAGTATTGAGATATACTCGAACTGTGTTTATACATTAAATCTTGAGTTGGTGTAGAACTTGCAGAGGTGTTTATCAATGATCAACTTACCACAAGAGTTAAGAAAGAAGTAATTAAAAATGCAAATTTTCACTAGAGGCAGAATCTTGTTTTTACGGTGTAAGGAATCCAGAAAAATCTATTTACACTTTGCTCTGCGTGTATAATGGTGTTTAAACATGTGCGTTCGTATCTGTGTGCAGTGTTCGTGTGTGTGTTCGTGTTCGCGTCAGTGTCGCCTGACTATGCCTGTGGGCCTCAGTGCATGCATAAATCAATATGTATTCATGTATAATAATACGCATACTTATGCACACATAAAATATTATTAATGAATCCAGTACAAAGACTGACACTGACAAGGAAGTATACTGAGTATACTGAGTCTTGCAGCATATGAAGAGCGCGTCACCGGATAGTTTTGTTTCATTATATGTTGGAGTTTAAGACTGACAGGTTCATAATATTCCTCCACAGTGCGGTGTGGAGGAGGCCGCAGGCGCAATCTTTGTGCCAAACTGTCACCCCCTTTGTAAGGCATCTTCAACTCGTATTCTAAGAATGTATAGGTACTGTTTCAACTACATTGGTAGAAAGGGTGTTCTCTGTGTGCGTTTTGGGCCAGATGGAACAAGTAGTTTCATGGTTACAATATTTAGCAACATGGCCGAATCCTTGGCATCTATACCACATTGTAGGCAAGAATTCCAAGACAGTTACTGGCAGGGTGCAATTCTTTGCACCATGCCGGTAGGTAGGGTGCAAAGAATTAATAGGAACTTTGGAGCGGTGTGTCATCTTTCCAGGTGATAACAGTCGTGTTTAGTGGATTGCGTTCGGCCATTATGCGCTGTTGACAGTAGGTACTTCCGCTGCATAAGCTGTCAAATCACGGAGATATGATGTGACGAGGAACTCTATTAAATGAGTTTGTGCCATGGGGAGAGGAGAGTCAGCGTCAAGGAATTATATACCACCCATTTCGCCTGTGAGGAGACGTCTTGATGGCCCCTAGATACAAAGATGTAGGCCGTGTTTTTTTTTTATTAACATATTCAGGTACATCTGTATTTCTGCAGCTACCCTAGGCTATATGAAGGGTTACGTAGTGCATGCCAAGAGCTAGGTGTGTGGTGCTAACAAATCCCCATATGGCAGGATGGTTGGTCATACAGGGCCATGTGATCAGTAGTCTGCACTGACAAATTGTCGATACATTATGAAGATATCCTCAAGAACACGAGGGAATAAAGTGATTGCAAAACTCAAGGTAGCTCACGCCGGCAAGTGTGAGGAGAAGGGGGGGGGGGCCTATAATGACTGGACATTCAGTAATGTAGCGTGTGAGATCATGACCCAGTTCCTGCTCACAGAGTTCACACCTTGAGTGCTCAGGATGAGGAAGATTCAGAGTGCCAATGTCCTCACCATATAAACTTGCGGCACCACACCATATTCGTCCATGACGATATATGTAGCATAAGAGCATAAGAGTGTGTTAGTCTGGTCCATAATAAGGACTGCTGCGGCACTAGAGTGTGTTGGACGCCTGCAAGACGGAAGGTAGTGAGGCTGCGGCCAAACTGAACCCTGCAGAAAATACTGAATATCACGCTGCGTGTCACATACATTACTGCACTACAAACTTATACGGAATGGTATTGGTGGTGGGAGAAAGTATATTTATTTTGTGTTGGATATATAAAATATGCTCACTCTTTGTTACTACACTGACAAAATACATTGACTGTAAATATAACTGGCACAGATAAAATAATGAGTCGGTAGAACTGGGCACAGAGAACACTTTTTGACAAGTGTTGCTGGTACGCTATATATATATATATATATATATATATATATATATATATATATATATATATATATATATATATATATATATATATATATATATACACACACACACACACACACACACGAGTCTGTGTGTAAGTGTGATGTGGCATAGCAGGTATGAGACTATTTATTCATGACTGTTCATGACTGTTATATGCAGTATTCACTGTGAATAATCTTCGACCTATAGTAAGCCTAGCTTGGCATGCTGTTGCTCTCCCTAAACACCTCATGTACAGAAATAATGTTTTCATATATAAATGAAGAACAATGCATTATTTTGATGGCTAGCAGTCGTTTGATATTTAAATTTAAAATGCGCTGGTGAACCATATTGCGAGGCGCGCATCCGTCGTTGGAAGCAACTGACACGCGTATCGCAAGACCTTCGAGGGGTAATTAGTTGTCAGAAATTTTGTAGGAAGACAGCCTGTAACAATAACCAGTCCTTATGCCAAACTCAAAACTTAATTATAATATTACAAATTACGGTTTTGTATTTAGTTCTAATCATATATATGCGTGTGATAGCGGAGAGGGCGCGCGTTACCGGGTAATAAAGGATCTTTAGAAGTAAAGTAGTATATAGCTAGCACTGATATTTTCTCAGTTCTATGATAGAATTATTCGGTATGACACGAACTTGCATTTAAATGCGAATTTCATGTTATGTTACCACGTAAGATCATTTTCTTATAGTGAATTAAGGTTACTTTAGTCAACCATACATGATTTCCTGGATACTTCATAAAGTCAGATGTAACTTCAAATGTTTAAAATTAAAGGAAAATATGTTGCCAATATTTCCTCCAACATATTCCAGGAAAAGGAGGAGGAAGAGGAGG